CTGGTATGCAATAAATCACTGACCCAATGAGCTATGATGGCTGGAACAACTGGTGTAAGGTGTCTGATTTACTGCCATGGCCCCTTAAGAACCCACAGTCAATACCCTTTCATGCCTGGGTACAGCCTGGGGAGAGGGGACCCTAGGGCTCAGGGAAGGAGATCATGTGTGTCTTTTATACACTGAGTTGTCCCTGCCTCAGTGAATTTGCTTCTCAGGGAGGGAGCCCTAGGCTGATAACCATGCCTATGGCCTTATTCCTCCTGGTGGCTACTGGCCAGTGGGCTTTGGGGGTCAATCAGGCTTGGGTTCCAATTTCAGCATGGCCCCTCTAGCTGTGTGGCCTTGGATTTGTCACTTCTCTCTGAGATGTTTCCTCAGGGGTAGACTAAAGATGACAGTAACTAACCACCTCCTCCGCTAAGGTGCCTGCCATGTGGCCTGATCCTAGGATGTGGGAGGTATCAGGCCACACGTGTCCTTGCCAGGCCCAGCCCTTCTCCTTGCCTCATTGTTCCATATCTGTGAAATGGAGCTGAGGTGGCTGCAGCCACAGTCCCACTAGAGGAGGTGCACACGTGGCATCCCCTGGGGGAAGGGAGAAAATGAGAGGCGTGAGGTGTTACTTCCCCATTGGTCTGGGTCAGGAGTTCTGGGACAGCCCCCACTGCACACACACGTACACCTGCATCCCAACCACAGCCCATGCTCACTGAGCTGGCTCCACAGACCATGAGGCTGTCACTGCCACTGCTACTGCTGTTGCTGGGAACCTGGGCTATCCCAGGAGGCCTCGGGGACAGGGCCCCACTCACAGCCACTGCCCCAGAGCTGGACGATGAGGAGAAGTACTCAGCTCATATGCCTGCTCATCTGCGCTGTGATGCCTGCAAGGTGGTAGCCTACCAGGTGAGTTTCTCCCCCAGCAGTTCTGCCCAGGAGCCTCCTGAAGCCAGACCCCTCCATCTACCTCAGATTGCACCACTGGCCTTTGAGCCCCCAAACCCCCACCCACAAGTCATCCAGCTAGACTCAGACTTCCATGATATTGCCATCTTCACCTCACCAGAACCTCCATGCCTCAGTTGACCCATCTGTCTGCCCAAAGAGACCAAACAATCTGGGACACCCCACAGTACCTTGAGACTCCAGGGAGTCACCAGCGTGTTATCTCAGACTCATCCCTTTCCAGGCCCATCCTCAGGTCTGGATTCCTTCCTAAAACATGACTGAGGGCACTGGTGTATGTGTGCATGTGTTCCGGGTGCATGAGTATATGTGTGTGTCTGAGTTCACATACAAACCTATCAAGCATGCCTGAGTATATCGGTGGGAGGGAAGGGGCCTATGAGTACATGTGTCATTGAAGATGGGTATGTTTTTTTTTCCTTTCCTTGTTCTTGCGGTTTAAAATAGCATGCACTGATAGGCAGGTGTAAATTGGGGGCGGGGCCCCGGTTCCCAGACCTAACCTTCCACCTAAGCATTTCCCATCCACCTACCCAATCCTAGGACAGTGGATCCTGCCTCAGCTGGCTCAGGTCCAGCTTTGGAACCTGGGAGAGGGTCATGAAGCCTGCCTCACAGGTGCTCTCTGCTCAAAAGGCTCCCTTGTCACCTCATTCTCCCCCAGAGACCCAGGCTCCTAGCCTCCCCTCCCCCACACTGAGCAGTCCCGAAGCCCTGGCTTTCAGCCCCTCCTTGTTCCAGATGTGGAAACATCTGGCAAAGGCAGAGGCCAAGCTTCATACCCCGGACTCTGGAGGGCGTCAGGAGCTGAGCGAGTCAGTATACACAGATGTCCTGGACCGGAGCTGCTCCCAGACCTGGCAGGAGTGAGTTGAAAATCTGGTCCCTACCTCCTTTCTCCAGGGGCAGGGCTGTTGGGTGGAGGTCCCTACTCTCCCACTCACATTCCACACACATTCCACTAGGGCTCTGGTCCAAGGTAGGGGTCTGTTTGGGACCAACTTTGAGCTCTGGAGCTGGGAGCAAGTAAAAGGGTAGGTGGCCCAGGGACAAGGTCATTGTGTGATTGTGGACCAGGAGCTTTTCCTCTCTGGTCCTCAGTTTTCCATCAGGGAAGATCAGACTCTGGCTACTGAACTCAGCAAATGCCCAGTGTGCGCAGCTTCATGTGGAGACAGGTTCCCCGCTGGCCAGGCTCTCACTAATGCTGTGTTGCTCTCCTCCCCCACTGCCTCCAGCTATGGAGTCCGAGAAGTGAACCAGGTAAAACGTCTCACAGGTCCAGGACTTAGCAATGGGCAGGAGCCAAGCATCAGCGTGATGATCACAGGGGGCCCCTGGCCCACCAGGTATGATAGGAGGGTGGGGGTGAGATGGGGCCCTTGGAGCTTTAGTCTGCCCCCTGTGGGCTGGCCAGATCTGAAGCTCCTGCTGGACTCCTCTAGGCTCTCCAGGACATGTTTGCACTACCTGGGGGAGTTTGGAGAAGACCAGATCTATGAAGCCCATCAACAAGGCCGAGGGGCTCTGCAGGCATTGCTGTGTGAAGCCCCCCAGGGGCCCTGCTCAGAAGAGGCGCCAGTCACAAGGGCAGAGCTCTAGTCCAATTCCTCCTTCCCCTTCGTGGTCTGCTCCTGAAGAGGGGGGAAGGAGGGGCTCTGGATCTGCCCTACTCCTTTCTGCAGGCTGCCCCAGGGCAGAGAGGCCTTGCTCTTCTGTGCTGTCACTCTCCCTCTGTCCTCCAGCTTTAGGAGGGGGGAGGCCTTCCCCTCCGGACTCAAATAAAACCCAGTGACTTCCATTCTTTCTGTCTGCAAAAGGTGCTTGGAGGTTGAGAGAACAGACATTGATGTTTCTGCTGATGTCACTCCTAGAGAGAGCCAAATACACACCCACACAGTTTCCCAGAGGTCAATGGGATCTGTCATGGTTGAAAATGTCAGTGAGCAGTCAAAGACCTATGGATCCAGTTATGAGAACGGTGAAACCACATATCTGTCAGGAGACAGAAAGAAAAACCATGAAAACCTCCATAAGCAGGCCACTTTGTGGACACACCTACTGCAACCAAATTTGTGCCCCTCCCAAAATGCTAGTCTCACTGGGTCCACGCCCAAAGGCTGCTCACTTTCTAGACTCTGCATCTGACCCCAACTGGCACAGTTGGGCTCTAAATGCCCATCGGGGACAGGATGGGGCAGAGTTCTTGGAAAAGGCTAGATTCAGCATCTTGGCTCTAAGTTCTGCTCCGTCCAGAAATTCTTCTGTCCTGGGGCTTTTCCCTTAGCAATAGAGCAAAGGGCCCTATTTGGGGCCTACTTGGGTCTGAAAACCTGGAGTCAGGTGGTTTTACAACTTGCAGGTTCCTTTATGAGTGTCTCTCTCTCTCGTGGGAGGTGGACAGAACACTCTAATCCCCAGATGATACATACAGATACCAAGGCTTAGACAACAAAAGAGGCTCAGGACGAGTCCCAGGCTGAATAGTGGTAGCGCTGGGAGGAGATTCAGATTTTGGGGTGGGGGAAGGTCATCGCTGGAGGAATGAGGATATCCCAGACATGCCCTGACCATGCTAGCTTCCCTGAGGTGAACGGCAGCCCAGCTTCCTACATTTCATCACCTGTTCTGAATCTGCCCGATGCCCCTCCTTCCTTGCCCCTGCCCCAGGAGAGAACCCCTAGGCACCAGGAGGGGAGTTAGCACTTAAGGAGCAGCTGAGTCCACTGAGCCAGTGGCTGTTTGGCGATTTTGGGTGAAGAGCTGGGAGCACATGATGAGGCCCTATGTTTACATGGAGTGATTTAGAGAGACTGCATCTGAGTCTGGGTGTTGTGGGTCCTTTGTGTGACTATATCTGAGACCATGGGCAACCTAGTCTCTGTGTATGATTTGGATTGAATTGAGTATCCAGGGGAGTGGAAGGTGTGGGGCTCTGCCTGAGGAGTGCTGGGGAGGAGAGGGTGGGACGGAAATTGCTGAGGAGAAGCTCTGAAACCTCGAACTGGTCAGACAACTTTGGGGACCTGGCAACAGAAGCCCAGAAGGGAGAGGAAAGGACAGGCAGACAGAGGAACAGGCTGAAGGCTGGACAGGTCGACAGATTCAGGGCTGTGGCATGAAGCTGCTGCCCAGCTGAACAGTGGTGCTGCCTGTGGGCCCTCTGAGCAGGGCCTGGCCCTGGGCAGAGCAACCCAGAGTAGGTAGGCCCTAGGGGGGCTGGGACTGGGGCAGCACCGAGGGGAGCAGAACCAGAGAACTCAGGCCCAGCCCCCACCAGCTGAAGAGCCTCAGCTACGTGGATCCTCCCAGGCCCTCAGCCAGCTCCAGCCCCATGGCAAGGCCGGGCTGTACCTGCCAGGAAGGAAAGACAGACTGGGCCCAGGGCTGGCTTCTGGGGCTCTGTGACATGCAGTCACACATGGCCCAGTGCTTAGAAAGACCCCACATTTGGTTTAATGCTCTGCTGCTGCTATCTTAAAATTCATAATACTTTTGGAACAGGGGCCATGCATTCTTATTTTGCACTGGGTCCCACAGATGACGTAGCCTGTCTTGACTAGGAGGGGAAGGGAACCCTTGCCCTGGGAGGGATAAGCAAGGCCGAGCCAGCCTTGGCAGCTTCTTTTCCAGCAGCTCATCTGTTGTATGCCTCAGGGACCCTGAGGGGTGAGCGGCAGTGGTGGGGAGGGCAGTGCCTTATCATATTTAATATGTGATTTACAGTATGAATGTGGGAATTCAGGCCAACCTAAATTTTAGGAATGGTTTTCTAAAATCTTGTTACCTGCACGGCCTTGGTCAGATCACATCTCTTAATCTGTTTCCGCAGCTGTAACAGGTTAATACTGCCCAGCACCTGGGGTTAAATATGACAATGCATAGATGTTGCCTGGCATGCAGTCATCCCTCAATAATGAGAGTAGTTATGATAATGATTAACTTGTTATTGATAAGTGGGGAGGAGCCCCACTTCAGCAGGTGACATAGTAAGTGCCCGTTTCTACTCCTCATCCAGGGCTTGGTAAACTTTGAAGACTGCTTACACCTCACCTCCTACTTTGGCCCTCTCTTGGAAGACAAGAACAGAGCCCATGCCCCAGGCTCAGGTACAGGCAGAAAGTGTACCTGGCAGAGGCTTAGGCGGCCTTTTACCACTCCACTACAGGCAGAGTTAATGCGTTACCTCCACCCAGGATCCTGTTTTCGCAATCATGATTGGAGCTGGGGATCTGGTTACAGATTTACTTCGAACAGTGTCTGATATGTGGAGTAAAGTCCTCCTTTGCCTTTGTATAGCCATCCTCTCTTCTCCTCGGGAACTGCTTACACCTATGCCCCAGAGATGAGGGCCCAGGAGGAACCCGAGAGCCAGATACAGGTGCTGGGGATGGGTGGGAGCTGGGTGGGGGCAGGGTGG